AGCAAAATTGCCCTTTATTTCCTTTGTTTCTTCCCATTGTTTGAATGATCACATCTGTATGTCACAGAAGTTTGATTCATTAGGCTACGCCTGCTATTTAGATAGTGCAGTTATGTGACACTTCAAACTGTTAAATCTTAAAGTACTAGATCCTCTGAAAACCATATTTGACAATAAAAGTTCCTTTTTGTTTTTTGTTTCCCTATTTCTACAGAGTTCAATGCAGCTGAATCTGACGCCAGACTGTAACAAAACTAGCATAACCATCTTGGGAAATACTGGTAAGCTGTTATGCCTCGGTAGAGCTTCAAAGTACGTGGGTTAGGTTACTTGATTTTTCGCTTTCATAATTCAAATGGCCAAGATGACTACAAGTCTTCTTCCCTCACCTACAAACGCCTGCTTCTCTCTCTCTCTCTCTCTCTCTCTCTCTCTCTCTCTCTCTCTCTCTCTCTGTGAAAAAAAAGGTTGGGATGGGGGAGAGTTGTTGAGATGCATGTGTTTTAGTAGGCGACAATGATCCAACCCACGCAGGCTCTGCGAACACGCTGCTTTTATATTCACATAACACTGAGCATGAATGTTATAAAGATTGAGTGACCAATGTTTCATTAGTGATCTGACATTTAGCTGTCTTTGTTGTGATAGATGTTGAAATTCACTGGCGTCACACAGATTTATTTGAGATCAATCTCATCCATAAAGAAGATTTTGGTATGGGAGGGTCAGCGCAGTATGAGGTGAGTGCTTTTAATTATGATCACCATTGCTTAACTTGGAGGTCCTAAGTTCAAATGCTGGAACCACGAAGGCATAAATATGATACTCATTGCCTGATCTTGAAATTGGTACTTTATGTCTTAATGAGGTTTCGCTGATGCCTTGAAGAATTCAATGGGGTGCCTTACCTTTATCCTAAGCAAGATGAATGTCAGCACGTTCCATAAAATGATGTCACAATTTTAAAAATGAGGTTTATTTAGGTTATGATTAGATGGAAAATAATGGAGAATAAAGGACAGGAAAGGAATTTGAGGGAGGCCTTACCCTTGTTCCAGAGCTTTATTTGGAGTAAAATGACGGACTTGAAATCAACCTCCAAAATATTTCAGTGTCCACCATTGAATCATTAGTTGTCTTGGTTCAAAATATTCCATCATTCATTTGTCGTGAATTATGGATTGAAAAATGACAAGTTTTCATCCAGCCCTCGAAAATATTTCATTGAGTTTCTAAAATTTTTGCAGTTGGTCTCCATTCCCTTATTCTCTGTTAAACGTGATTCTTTTTATGAATTACATTAACCATTCTCCACTTAATTTGCAAATTGGATTCTCTTTATGCATTTATGTATTTGTGGAGAGTGATTCAAGAGAAAGCGGGTGTGTATGAAGTCTACCTAGCTTTACACTCGTCCATTTTCCCTGTATTCACTTTTGTGAATGTAGAGGATCTGGACTACTTATTTTCCTGTGGTGGCTGCTCTAGAAACAACTGTGATAAGAACGTTTTTTGTTCATTTGAATAATTCCTAATGCTGAAAAATTCACCTGAAAAACTAACGGTTCCAGTGGATTTTATCATTTTATATGTAAAATCTCCTCTTTACTGATTGTTCTAATCCGTTGTTTTAGATCAAACTGCTGAATGCCAAAAAATTCGAAGACAAAATCTCCATTACCCTGCCAGCTACTGGTTAGTATACGTAGCCCACAATTTTGATGCTAGCCAATGACACCCTTAAGCAAAGCCTTCCTAAGGGAAAGGACATAAAACTGTTGCAGGTAAAATTTAGCCTATCTGCTTTCCTGTTTTACAGGCCAGAGAGCGGAGATAGACGTGAATTGTAAACCCGTAGAAAAAGCACCATCCCCGACCATCATCGATGTAGCCAGCTGGGCAATCATGCTTGGGCTTGGTCTACTGTTACTGTACTGGGTACTAAAGGCCACGCCAAGGAGATCACAGCAACCCAGAGCCAGAGATACTGCTACGTCGAGCAGTTTAGCTCCTAGTACTCCTGATCGAAGCAGCGTTAATGTTATAAATGACAAATCTCCACGGACGCCTCAGCCTTTTGTGGACTATGTCAGGAGAACCATTGATGAAACTCCATACTACAGGCGGGAAGGAAGAAGGATTAATCCACAAAATACGTATTAGACTCTGCCCACCCCCTGCTATTCTTCCCACATTAGATGTAGTGCTTTCTCTTTATTGGGCCACGTAGATGTAATGTAAATTTTACGGTGTAATAATACTGTGTTTGTCAGCCTGAATGAGATTATAGGATCTTAGTTAAATTCTTAATCGGAACTCGATTAATCAAGAAATGAATTTTGCCAATTTGAGCGGAACTATTTTGTCGTATGAATATTTTTCATGTGAATTAGAATTTTTATCGTGAGATGTAGGGTAATTTCTGTTAATTATTATTTTGGCTTTAAAATTTTTCATTTTGTTTTAATAGTCTCATTAAAAATATTGTTAAGTTATAAATATCATGACCTCATGTGTGGGATACCGTTTTATATAGTTGTTAATTATTTAAATCAGACATTTAAAGCACTAAATAGAAATGCTAATATGTCGGTCTATAATTTGACATTTGACTTCGTCAACATAGTTGTTGCATGTTTTCTTTTTTGCTTTTTTGAAAAAATAAAGATCCATCAAACCAGCCTATATGAGCCTTTGTTCCAGTTTCGTTTACTTCAGATGTTGGTCCGCTTCACTTATCCTACACAGTTAAGCCGGCAAGCCCACTTATTTTTTTAAATAAATAATTTTCCAACAATTGAAATGAGATTTTAACTCGTCTAAAACAAATGGTTTAAGCGCATTATAAAGGATATTTAAGCCCTGAACAAGAAAGCCAGGAAAGGTGGCTATCTTTTGGAGGGGACATCAACGATAATGCCCGCTTTGTGACGAAAATCAACGGAAATTAACAAAAAACAAGAGCTTGTCTTCTGATTCTGAGTTTCTTTCTATTTTGGTTTTATTAGTTTGCTCCTTTTTTTCTTTACTGCCTTTGATCAAATTTGAGGCTCTTCGGAGGTGCAGAAAGACAAGCGAAAGTTGCTCTACTTTCTGCGAGTGGTTTTTATCAAGCGTACCCGCTTGTTCGCTGCATTGACGTCCATCTTTCTTCACTCATCTGGTGCTTTTTTTTTCCTTCCCATGTACCTCCGTTCCTTTCTTTATGGTTTTTGCTTAAAGTTCATTCCTGCTGTTTCTCAAGGAGATAGCCGTTAAATCCAGAAAGATGATGATTGTTTCTAAAGAACCTCGGAACTTGTAAATCATAATTGAAGTTGTTTGGCATCAATGATATGACGTACTGTGATTATTCTTTCGGATTAAGCTGGTTACTTTGTCTAGTTATTGTTGGTTAGTCCTCTTCTTCTCTCTCAAGTATAGCGACCAGAATGTAACTCTTGAGAAACTTGTAGATATTTGAACCTGCCACGAGACACCGTAGTGGTTTTTTCTTGAAATTTCGATTAAATGGCGTCCTGTATCTTCCATTTCTGGTCAGCCATTTGTTATCCAATTTTCTTTGTGACGGTTGAGATTCATATGATCTTCTTGTGATCGCATCTTTGATCGGTTTCTTGCAGATGCTATGACGTTGTATTCTTTTTGCGCTTTTTGAATTTTCTTCAACGCCATTCTTATTAATATCTTTTAATTCCACCATCATAATTGTCATACGAGTATTATTTTTGGAAAACAGAAGGACTTATAAGGACGTGTTTACTGCAGGAGATTCTGTAATTAATGGCTTTGTCTCGGAGCTTCTCAAACAAGTACGTCCCGATAATTCACTCTACTTAATTGAATTTTGATGCGAGTACGCGTATTCAGAATTTCTTCATGGCGTCTTCTGTCAACGGAGTTGCGCCTTTATCAGAGGTTCAGAATTCAGTTTCTGCGATAGATTCCGATCCTCCTTCAACATTTTGGATTCCTCGGCCGTCCCGGCCTCCTCTAAGAACTTCCAGAAATCACGGGGTTTCTTCTGCATCCTATTTTACTGGCCATGATGACTATGCAACGATGCCCATCAACCGTCATAGAAGCTGTGTAATTAATCGAAGGCATTCTTATCTAGAGCCCAACATTGTGCAGCACGGAGAGTTACCAAATGCGTCAGAGCTGTATTACAACTATGGTGGAGAATCTGGCTGTTTAAGCCTCCCTGAAACTGGAGAAAGTTGTTTCGGGAAGAACATCTGTACCATTGAACCATTCGATACTTCCACCAATTGTGATTCAAGTAGCAGCGTATTAGAATTTGTAGGTCCATCAAGAGGGGTTGATTCAGTCAAGAGTTACTGTCATCCAGGGGTTACTTTTTGTCCAAGTCCTCAGACTAGCTTCTATTCTGCCACTTTCTATTCCGAAGCCAAGCAAAGTTTTTCTAATACTGAAATCAGTGAAGGTGTTAGTGTTGATAAGTCAAGTGAGATTGGTGGAGTTACTAACTCCTATTATTGTAACGAGAGCAGGAAGACCAGCATCTGTAGAGGGAGTAGTGTGAGTGAAGTTAGTGATGAGAGCAGCAACTGTACTTCAAACAGCTCTTTGTATAGACCCCACAAGGCAAACGATGTAAGATGGGAAGCAATTCAAGCGATCCGAGCACGCGATGTGATCTTGGAAATGAGACATTTCAGGGTGTTGAAGACATTGGGACGTGGAGACATAGGAAAAGTTCATCTTGTGGAGTTGACTGGCACAGGAACTTATTTTGCCATGAAAATTATGAATAAAGAAGAGCTAGCAAGTCGCAAGAAGCTTCTGAGGGTTCAGACAGAGAGAGAGATATTGCAGTCTTTGGATCATCCATTTCTGCCCACATTATATGCGCACTTTGAGACAGAGATATTCTCTTGCTTGGTAATGGAGTTCTGCCCCGGTGGGGACCTGCATGCACTCAGGCAAAGACAACCCGGGAAATATTTCTCAGAGCATGCTGCCAGGTTAGCCATTCCCCTTCTCGCCTCTCCTGAAAAAAATCCTCTGCAATTTATGCATCTAATATGCGCATATACAAGCAAGGATTGGTAAATGGTGAGGTTGATATTTTGGTTCCGTTTTCCTTCTGGACTCAAATGTCTCTTGCGCCAGAAGGGTACTAGGTGCTGACTCAGGAAAGTTCTCTTTTCGATAGGTTAGAGTAGATCATCAGCAGAGAGGTTTTCTTGATACAAATAGAAACCCAGGCCTCTGTCTAAGGAAGATGTGAAATTTTAGATGTCTGCTGTCACTGCCACCATTATCACTAACTCCATGAAAAATCCATTTTTTTCCCAGTAAAACAACGATAACTGAGGTTTTCAACTAAGTTCGAGAATGTCAGCCAAAATAGGCGAAATTTCTTCCTTGCATGCTTTATTTTGTTTTACTACTTTTGCGTCTGCTCTAGTAATTCTCCTCTCAACTTGTTTCATTCTGTCTTGTGAATGCCATGATTAGGCTCCCTATCACCTACAGAAAGTTCATGAATGGCACTTGTCAGTGTATCATTTATTTAAAAAGCGATCAGCTTTTGTATGACCCAAATAATTTTCAGTTTTTGTTGTTATTTATCCAGAGTTTCTAGCATGTCTTAGTTGTCGCCATTAACTTCTGGGTTCGGTTATCAGCTTCAAAAAGTCTGCTATGCTTTCATATAGCCCCCCTAATGGCTTCCTATAGTAATTATTCCAGAGGCCCATCATCTGCCATTCTTTCATACAGCCCCACTAGTAACTTGCGATAGTAGTCATTCCTTCGGCCCTTCTAAGGCTGCCAAAATGACAAATAAATTAAGATATTGCTGGTAACTAGGTCACTATGGCCTGCGTAGGAGACAATACACCAATGAAAATAAACTTGAATTTCAATTTCTTTTTCTTCTTTGTTGTTTTGAGTAAATCACACAAATCTCTCTTGATTTTGTCAGTCACAGTAACCTCGCTGCTGTTTTTAGGATATGTACAGATATCCTTTGAAACAAGTTATCCTATAACTTGGTCGAATTATAAACTTTTTGACTGAACTGTCGTCCTTTGGTCTAGATACATGTTTAATTAGTTTGGACAAGAAAAGAGATGTTTCCACCATATGTATTGTCATTTCATCAATCTGCACTGTGCTATGCAGGTTCTACGTGGCAGAGGTTCTTCTTGCTTTGGAGTACTTGCACATGATGGGGATCATCTACCGAGACCTTAAACCTGAGAATGTCTTGGTGAGAGAAGATGGTCACATAATGCTGTCAGATTTCGACCTCTCTCTGAGGTGCACTGTCAGTCCAACTCTAGTAAGATCATCATACTCTTGCATGGAGACAAAAGCCTCAAGACACTGTGCTCCACCTGCGTGCATTCAACCAACATGTGTCATGCAGCCAGATTGCATCAGACCTGCATGTTTCACACCTAGAGTCCGATCTGGAAAGCCCAAGAAAGACAAGAAGTTGAAAACCAGAAATGAAATGCATCATCCAGTGGCCTCTCTTCCTGAGCTCATTGCAGAGCCAACAAATGCACGTTCAATGTCATTCGTGGGCACTCATGAGTACTTGGCTCCAGAGATTATCAAAGGAGAAGGGCATGGCAGTGCTGTAGACTGGTGGACCTTTGGGATATTCTTATATGAGCTTCTGTTTGGTAGAACGCCGTTCAAAGGTTCAGCAACTAGAGCAACTCTGCTCAATGTGGTGGGTCAGCCCTTGAGATTCCCAGAATCACCTAGTGTCAGCTTTGCTGCTAGAGACCTGATAAGAGGCTTGCTTGTGAAAGAGCCACAGCATCGTCTTGCTTATAGACGTGGAGCTACTGAAATCAAACAACATCCATTCTTTCACAATGTTAACTGGGCACTCATTCGCTGCACTCATCCTCCGGCGGTCCCCAGACAGGCCATGAAAGCTCTCACAGTTGAAAAGATGGCTGACACTGCTTTGAAGCATTCTTCTGGTAAATATTTAAATGTTGATTACTTTTGAACCTCATAATGAAACGGTGCATTGCTGCTCCACGTTTGGGTACGTACGCATTTGTAAATGCCTATAAGAAACTCTGAATGCGTTCAAATGAGTGACCAAGTTTCTGTTATCTCATCGAAAAGCTTCTGTTAATAGTATATTGCCTGCTTGTTTACATCTGAAGCCTTCCTCTCAGAAGGCTCCCTGCTGCACCATGGTTGCAACTCCTTTGAGCAACTTTAGTATTAAAACTGTCATATGATGGCTACTCGGCAGAGGATTGTGGGAACAAAATATTATTGAAAATCATCCAAAAATTAGAGAGAAGTGGGGCATTGCTTTCTGGCTCAGATGAGGGGTGGGAATTAAAAACAACACTTTCAGAGACATTATCATCAATGGACGATGGTTCTGTGAAGCAAATACAAGCCAAAATGGTTGAGGCCCCTGCCATCTCATCGTTTACATATATAATTATCACGTTGAAAAGAATATCTATGTGTTGATTCGGCAGCTTAAAGCCCGTTTAGCCCTTCAAAAGAAATATCTAAATAAAATAATCGAACCTAAAGTAATCGCCTGATCCGTCTCCATCTGCCAAGTCGCTTTCCATCTTTTCTTGATTTGATTATGAGAACAGCATCCTTACTTTATCTTGCCAGAATAAATTAATTAGCGTTAATTCTTTAATTTCTGGCTGAAGTGTTTGAACGGTTTATAGAGACAATGAAAAGTCTCTCCAGTTAATTAAACAGGAATTATGCTTGTCCTTAGCGCTCTAATTTCTTTCTTGATGCTACGTTTGATCCTGCCCTTTACTAATTAACAATCTCATAAATACGCAAATAATCCGTCACTCCAAGCTCAAACAGGATGGTATTCTGATTAGATTTTTAAGTGAAAAGTATTGTCCTGAAAACGACGACTTCTTCATGTCAAAATGGCAAAAAGACGCCGACTTCAATCAACTCTAAATGCTGTAGCCTGCCGAGGCACAAGTGTTATCGGATAATACCTCTCAAACATCAAATATCGAGATGGTGGAATCTAGTCACCGTTGAAATTTTAGCCCCAAAAAAAAAATCACCGTTGATTTGGGATTAACCCACTTGTAATTAAAATATATAAATACAATTAAAATGCATTAGTTCATAAGTAAATAGAATATCTATATATAAATCACATATAATCAAACACAAATAAGATGAATTGCTATTTCTTTTTAATTTAACTCGAAATGACATCTTTTTAAGATCAATAATTATAACATTGATATTAAATCATGTGCCTTTTTCCTAATGTATAAGAAAAACATAAAATAACTTGTGGTTAGATCATGTATTTGATCCTTTACTCAACTTAATAAATAATTTACTCGTCTAAATCAATTGGATGAGATTAAGTCATGAGGTCAATTGAATCATTAGATACCCATATAATAAAATTAAAATCTAGGCATTCCATCTCATGTTGTCTGTTGGATAAGAGATTCTAATTGGAATGATGGTTCTTGGTGAGAAACAATAAGAAACACAGCGATATTGTAATTTCAATTTTCAACGCAATGGTGATGGATGAGTTGAAGGGAACAAAATAAGGTGCAGCTTCTTCTGTCTTTGCTTTGGTCACATCACCGCCCATGCTTCATAAAGTATTCTTTCTATCCCCTAAATTCCCATATTCTTCCAATCTTCTGCCGCCATGCACCCCCATATTCCTCAACACAGATGCATGCATGGAGATCCATATATATTTATATTAGGAAAATCTCTATGTGAGTTTATAATTTAATGATACTACTACCTCCGGTCCTAATTATAAGAGCCAGTTAATTAATTTGAGGAGATTAAGGAAGTAAGTTGAGTTAGTTATTTGTCCTAAATAGGTGTTGTTTTTCCTAAAATATCCTTACTAATCAAGTGTATTAACTAAAACTCTTATTATTAGAAGGGCTAGTTTAGAAAAAATGTATAAATATGAGAAACAAAGTGGATTGGAGTCTTATATTTAGGACCAAAATAAAAGTCAAACAGGGTCTTACATTAAGGACCGAAGATAGTACATATTAATATTTCAGAAATAAAACACGTGACAGCTGTAATCAGAAAACTTGACATAATAATTATAAGAAGCTTGATTTAACTATAGGTCTATATATTATAAGCACAAATATTTTTCTTCGTAGACATTAAATATTGATTTTTTTGGTAAAAAAAATTCAAAATTTTGATTTGTTAACTAGCTTTTTTTTTTTTTTTTCCAGAGCTAACCCTATTACCCCCCCCCCAACCACCAGAAAACCTTTTATTGATCTGAGTTTTATTTTATTTTATCTCCACTAAGATCCGCGTAGACTGAACGCAACACAAGTGGTACCTCAGCTTTACGCACCAAACAAAAGCATGAGCACTCCCCATGACTCTCCATTTGCACGTCTCAAGTAACATTTTGATTCTTCTGAAAAAATTTGTTCATTTCTGCTTCACTCATCTTTTCATTCCTAGTTTCGTAAACATCCCTCTTTTTTCCCTCCGGTGGCTAGCTTTTTGCATCATCACAGCGATGATCGACTTGAAAGATTTGTGTGATTTTTCTTAAAGATTTCAGTGACCACTCAATCAACGGAAACAAGTTATATATCTTTACGTAAGTAAGCTTTAGGAGCATGCATGGACCCACCACGAAGACTACTTCACACCGATAAATTCGTCATTATGATGAGTTAGAATAAGAGAGCCAACAGTGTATATTTGTTCATCAGATAATTGAAAACCAGAAACAAATTTATATAGCTCAAAATCCCAAGAGCCGTTGTTTATGAAATTACTGAATAGGGATTCATGGATAGGACATTATTTAATACAATAATATTCATGGGATATAGAACTATTATAACAAAGACGAAATTCTTGTGATACTTTTGAGTTAATTTTTCAACGCTGCCACTCCATTAATTACACCAAGAAGAACCAAATTTCACTTTGATATTCCACCATCCTCACTGCTCATGCATCAGTGCTGATATCAACTGCTTTGAATTAATTAATATATCTCAAATATAATTGTATCTTCATTATAATTAATCAAGTGATGACAAGATTTCCTTTTCAGGGATAAAAAAGCTAACATGATTGTATCTTCATTGATTCAATTTGCTTCAAAAGTTTTCTAATGCTGACATTCTTAATTGGTGGGCTAGAAATACTTTTATAAGCACTTTTACCATATGAGGCTAGTTTACACGTGGGGTTTAAGTATGGAGTCTGATGGCCTAGCGGTGGAGAGTTTAACTACAAAGCTTTTATAAATTTTGGAGAAAGAATGATAGAAAAATAGATGTATGTATATATAGGAAGCCTTTATTACTACTTCCTCCTACCCTAAATATAAGAGCTAATTGATTAACTTGAATATATTAAAAAAATAAGTTAGGTTAGTAATTTGTAATAAATAAGTGTTGTTTTTTATAAAATATCTTTACTAATTAAATTTATTGGCTAAAACAACCATTATTAGAAGGACTATCTTGAGAAAAAATAAATAAATATGAAAGACAAAGTGGATTTGGATCTTATATTTAATACCAAAATAAAAGTCAAATAAGGTTTTATATCAAAGATCAGAGGTAGTATATGACAATACTTGGTACTAAAAAATTACCCAATATAAGTTTTGAGATTAAAAGGTTATTTTCATCTAAAGTATTCTAAAGCTTCTTTTTTTATTATAATCATCCCGATAATGTTAAAGACATAGCAATGTCCCCTATCAACAAAATGAGGTTCACCTTTTTCTTTTCCTCTCTCGTTTTTTTTCTTCACTTCAAATTTTAGTAAATTATACACACTCTTTAAAAAAAAATTAAAATGCTAAGGAATCCGAAGTGGGGGAAAGGCACACTAGGGAATGGGACGTATAGAAACGCACAAATAAGAACATCAACATCGTGACATAACAGGAAATTATGGTACGCGAAGAGTTTCCCAGATGACATGGCACCAAAGTGGTGGGCATGGTCCTCAGGAGGGAGGAGCTGAACCAATGGCAACCCAAACATTAAACGGTTAACTGAAAACCCCAGTGCCATTTGGCGGTAAGCAACGGAGAATCCTATGTCAAAGGCCTCTTCCTCGTCAAGTTTCATGCTCGATTCCGTCTTCACTCTCGTGCCTCTCCCTTTTGTCCTTTCCTCTTTCACAGTTTGCGTCTGTAACCTTATATATACATAGCTAGACAATCTCACATGCACCTTCGCAACAACGCAGAGTTATTGCTGCTTCTCCTGCTACCTCTCGAAAATCCAAGCTCATAATTGGTTCCATTCTGTTACTATATAGATACACATAGCCTCAAAAGTACGCTATCCCCATCTCTTCCTTTCACTGATTCAATTGGAAAGTTTTCTTCTTTCTTTCTGTTTCCTTCTGCTTTCTGAAATTTCAGCAGTTCATATTTCATACTGTTTGGTTATGTGTTGTGTGAATTGACAATGAAATGTTCTGTGGTTTTAATTGGTTGCAGCTGGATTGGAGTAAAGGGAAAGTGAGTCCTCTAGTGAGCAGCATAAGAGCAAGGTTACGGCCCAGACCGATGCCGTTGAATATATTTCAGGACTTAGGTGGATTGCCCCGTATTATATTGACTGAACCTACTGGTTCATCTGCAGAGGTAATTTCTTCTGCCTGAATTTACGCGTGTTAAGCTCATATTAGGCTTTCAGGTATGAAAGTGCTGTGGATGAATGGTTTCAGGTGCTTCTATATGGAGGCCAGATTGTTTCCTGGAAGAATGAGCAGAGACAAGAACTTCTTTTCAAGAGCAGTAAGGTAAGAAAATTCTGTGTATTTTCAAGTTACCTTCCATTTACTCAGCCCTTTTATTTATATAACTGTTCAGTTTTTTGAGTTTCTGGAAAAATTTCAAGACATGTATGGTGATTTTACACTCTGACAGGCTAACTGGAAACAACCTAAATCAATCAGAGGAGGGATATCAGTCTGCTTTCCTCAGGTTAATTACCTTTTTTTTTTTTTCAGTGGCACAGACACTTCAGAAAAGTTCAAATCCATGTGCTGTGAATTCTAGTTCAACTTTGATGTGTTTAGCAGTTTGGGAATATGGGTTCGCTTGATCAACAAGGATTTGTAAGGAACAGATTGTGGTCACTGGACAGAGACCCATCTCCTTTACCTCCATCTGACAATCACTCATCCGTGGATCTGATCTTAAAGTCCACCCGGGAAGATTTAAAGATCTGGCCACGAAGGTATGCATCATGCCTTCAAACAAACTGTGAATAACTTTTTTTAATCTCTTTCTTTGGTAATTAAATGCTGCTGAACTGAAACTTGTTGTTTGATATTGCTTTCTGCAGTTTTGAGCTCAGGCTTCGCATCACCCTTAGTGCTGGAAAGCTCGTTCTGGTTCCCCGAGTCAGAAACACTGACAATAAGCCTTTATCCTTTACCCTTGCTCTCTGCAACTACTTAAGTGTATCAGATATCAGGTGTTTACATTTAGCTCTCTCTCTTTTTCCAAATAAAAACACTATATGTTTGTATTTATGGCAACAAATTTAGAACTAGGCCAGATGATGCAGCGTAATGGTGAAATTAGGACCTTTTCTTAATGGTTATGCATGACGGTGTTGAAAATTCAGTGAAGTTCGGATTGAGGGGCTGGAGACACTTGATTATCTTGATAATCTCGTCAATAGAAGCAGATTCACAGAGCAAGCAGACGCAATCACTTTCGATGGCGAGGTAAAAAACACGCAGATCTTACATACATAATCCTTTCACCTTCCAACATTTAGTTCGACTCACAAGTGCTTACATGATGAACCTGTAGGTGGAAAGGGTTTACCTGCGAACACCATCTAAAATCGCCATCATAGACCACGAGAAGAAAAGAACATATGAGATGAAGAAGAGCGGCATGGCAGATGCAGGTTTTGACATATATGTTCCCATTTTATAATATACTCAGATCATTTTGATGATGATGGAAATTAAAATAGCAGGATATTTCTGACAGTGGGGTTTTTATTCAGTGGTGTGGAATCCATGGGAGAGAAAAGCGAAGGCGATGTATGATATGGGCGATGAAGATTACCAGAGCATGATATGTTTGAGTTGTGCAGCAATTGAGAATCCAGTGGCATTGAAGCCTGGTGAAGAATGGAAGGCGTATCAGGAGATCTCCACTGTGTCTTCCAGTTATTGCAGTGGGCAATTGGATCCTCGTAGGGTCATCCATGGCTTTCACTGATCTTCTTGATCGACTCACACACACATACACACACATATATGTCTGTGTGTTGAAAATAAAGTGAGTTAACTCATGTATCCACAAAGGAAGCTCCATCATCTGATGCAGGGACTCCAGTTTTCTCTAGACAAGTTCATCAGTTGATCTTTGTGGTTTATTTAAGTCAGGAAAAACTGAACCTTTTTGGTTTGGTTATGTTGATGGTGTCCTACATTTCACTGAGGTTTGTGTGAATAATGCGAGTAATGAGAAGCTCTATATTTGCCCACGTGCATTACTTTGCTCATTATTATAAGTCCTTAATATAATGCCTGTTTAACTAATTTGACTAGATTAAGAAAGTTAAGTAAGTTAGTTGATTATAAAAAATGTGACATATTTTTTCTAAAATACCATAATCATCTTTCTTAATATTCTCCCTCCCTCACTTAGCTGATTATAGTTGAGGGAGTATCTATTAGGATAATTTAGAAAAAATTAATAAATATGAGAAATAGGTCTCATATTTAGTATCAAAATTAACTTAACAATTAGGTTATATATTAGAGATCAGAGGAGTAATATAATTATACTCAAGTTGTTCAAATATAATTATACTTATTATTATAATTTCAACAGGCTAGATTTAGAGTCTTAAAATGACGAATTTATTTTTCTTTTCTTTAAGAAGTTAGAATTACAATATCATTTTTATTTTATGCATCTATTAAAATAAAAATATTTAAAATATAAAAATTGATTTAATTTAAATCTAGATCACTCGAAATCAATTTGGACGGATCAGAGTGTGCTTTTAAGTTTTAAATTCCATGTTGAGCAATCATGGCAAGAGTGTGAAATGGGGATGGAGGGACAAGCAATTTGGGTTCTCCTCGGTCTTTTGGGTTATCGTCTATTTGTGTTTGTAATCGTTTGCGCTGTGTTTGGGCTGAATTTGGGCCGGAGACTGATATTTTCAGATTACCATTAAAGCCCAACGAACTGAACATGGGCTTTGATGACACTTTGATTACATATTTAAATTAGTCTACATCCCCCAACGGGAATTGGGTCTAGCGGAAGGGATTAGTCCTTCACAACGTGACGAACCAAGGTTCGAATTCTCGTTAGAAGAAGTGCCCACATTTAGTGTCTGACAGTACTTCAAATAGGATTGTCTCTAATAGGAGGATACCTGCGCTTTAGCAAAAAAAAAAATAGTCTACCTCCAACAAAACTGAATTTTATTCTGAACGATTTATCAGATATATAACATTACCTATAGTAAACCCAAAAAAAAAAAAGATATAACATTACCTATAGGCTGTAGCCCCATAAAGTGTTTCATTTATAGCCTAAAAAATGAAGCTGCAAATAATTATTTAAAGGGGAAATTCATGATCTTAACACGCAAACAATATTTTCAATAATTTTAATACGGAGAGTTTGATTTATTTTTTTTTAAAACCGCGTCAAAAATTCAAAATTTTACATCAGTTTATAAAAATCTTTTGGTTTTATGGGTATCATATTTAGAGGCATAGACACACGCGAGGTTGATTTTGTGGGCTACAAGCATTTTATTATCGGTGCAGCACAACACGCGCGGAAATGGTGGGAGGTTCTTTTTCCTTTTTTTTTTTTTAATACTATTTAAATTGTGACTTTGTGAGTCAAGAAAGTTGGAAAGACTATGCATATTGGGTAGTTGAAGGGAACAGAGTGTGAATTCAATATTTTTATTTTAATACTATTGCTGATTGCTGATTGGTTAATAGATGCGGTAATTGTTTAGTCTTTGGATAAGTCAATACCACCAACCCATCACCTCTTTGTAATTAAAAAAAGACCTCGGACGAGCGTATGTATCCCTCCAGGATCTTGCCTTTTTTGTTTCTTTTCGTTTTTTGTATTTGCCAGCGACTCTAGGGTCTTGTCATGTATTACTAGATCCTAAAAAAAATAAAAAGAACAAATATACTACTTCCGTTCTTTAATACTCCTCCGGTCCTAATTATAAGACCCAATTGACTTATTTGAGGAGATTAAGGAAGTAAGTTAAGTTGGTTATTTATAATAAATAAGTGTTGTTATTCCTAAAATATCCTTGCTAATTAAGTATATTGGCTAAAACTATCATTATTAGAAGGATTATCTTGGAAAAAAATACATAAATATAAGAGAGAAAATGGATTGGGTCTTATAATTAGGACCAAATAAAAAGTCAAATTGGGTCTTATAATAAGGACCGGAGGAGTATAAAAATTAATTAACTAATTTAAATATATTAAAAAAATTAGTTAAGCTTGTTATTTATAATAAATAGATATTGTGTTTTTTAAAATATCTTTACTAATCAAGTATATTAACTAGGACTATCATTACTACAAGGACTACCTTGAAAAAAAATAAATAAATATAGGAGATAAAATAGATTTGACTCTTATAATTAAGACTAAAATAAAAATCAAATTAGCTTTTATATTAAAGATCAGAAGCAGTATATTGTTTCTTTACCAGTACAGGAATAATCTCTTGAACTAAGCTTACAGCTAGCTTTGGCATGCCTCAATGAGCCTTCTACTATTCATTTCTTTAATCACTGATCGAACATGCAGCCTTGTAAACAGTGTCTGCCGCCGAACCAAGTTCTCCAAAGTTTCCCAAGAAGACGACGCACAAGTAAAGAAACTAACAATACTAACACTCGACGTAAAATAATTAACATTGCTGTGAACACACACACACGCGACCCTTGATATGTCCGAATAGTGAGAGCGCCAAATGGCAGGCTTCTAGGTACCTTCGACCCTTCTCCCTGCCTTTGGCATTTGGGCTTTATTCATTATCTTTGTTTTTTTTAAGTCATACGTATATTTTTACTGAAAACAATCATATTCGAGACATTATCAGGTATTAAATATAGATATCTTTTTTAACTAAGATTCGAATATTGATTTATCATGTTGTGAGAAATTAATCCATTCTACTAGACCTAACCTTACATTGTTTATTGTCATTGTTATTTTGTGATGATGAGTTTGCACGCCTTGGTTGTTTGAAGTTTAATTTGGCAAAACCAAGTTTGTTTCGCAGAACGAAGCTTCGTATTCATCGTCAAGCGCTTTGTTTTTACTGGGGATGTAATACTGACAATGAAGTAGAAGAGAGAGAAAGATGGACAGCGAAAATATGTACCGTGACAGTTTCGTGGATTCATATGCGCATATTTATCGATCGATAGCTGTTTGGCAGTATGAAGAAGGGATATTCTCTTTGAATATACCGTGTTTTCAAAAGCCAAACCAAAGCGAAGGAAAGTGAAATGCGACTATAACACATTATTCACGTAGAAATACACAATTAATCCTGAGGAATATAAACACTGTATTTTTGAAGGTACAAAATATATAATGGATCATGTTAACAATAAGTCATAAAACATATGATTTATTGTTGATTGTACTTTTGTTAAATTAAGGGGGACGTATATTTTTAATGAAGCTGAATATTTGAGATTAAATGCATATCACTGGGGAGATCCAGGTTGGAAAGAAACAAGAGTATGATCTTCACAGAAAAAACAAAATACTAACAATCACAGTGCACTTCCTTTTGCGTATCTTTACTTTCTGGGAACCAATCCACACCCCACAAATTCAACCCCCCTCCTTTCCTTCTTCTTTTTTTTTAATAAAAAAATTGTTTTAATTAAAGATTACAGAGTTAATCTGTGCATTAGAAACTATAGAAGCAAAATCCTCATTGCATCACACAAATTAACGAACCCATATAATTGATTTGACTTACAATAGTTTTTTATATATGAGTTAGTTGACTAATTTGCATATGTTAAAAAAATTAGTTAAATTAGTTATTTATAATAAATAAATATTGTATTTCTTAAAATATCATTTTTAATTATGTGTATTAACTAAAAGTCGAGAACTACTATTTAATGAAACTTTTAACATGTATAACTACCAGAATAACTATCTTAAAAAAATACTCCTCCGGTCCTTAATATAGGACCCAATTGTTGAGTTGGTTTTGGTCATAAATATAAGACTCATTTCTCATATTTATCAGTTTTTTCTAAATTACCTCTATGGATACTCCCTCAACCACAATCAAAGAGAAGAGGAAGATGGGATATTAAAAAAGATGATTATGGTGTTTTAGGAAAAATGTGTCACTTTTCTTATAATTAACCAACTTACCTAACTTCCTTAATCTAATTAAATTAGTTAAATTGGTCTTATATTAAGGACTGAAAGAGTAAATAAACATGAAAAACAGAATGAATTAGTATCATATATTTATAATCAAATTGAATATGAAACTAGTTTTGAAGTGGTAATTCAGTTAGATTGACAAATATAAATGTTTTTAAGGTTAACTCAAGTAGCAACTCACACACTACTCTTTTTTCAAACGAGAGATTGCGAAATCTAATTCTAAAATAATTGTGTGGTGGGTATGTGTGGACGTATATGTTCCTCTTTTTATGGAAAAAAAAGAAAAAGAACCAAGTTTGAAGTAAATTTGAAAAAAAAAACAAATATTATGAAACTCGAGATCAATCACACTGTTTTCCATCTTCATGTACTTTTCATATATACTACTGTGATCATAATTAAACGACGGCTCCTACATATTTTAAGCACATTGGAAGAAAATTTAGTATAAAAGACAATAAATTAATTTTGCTCCAATGAAAATCCATTCAGTAGATAATTGCCCCCTCCCAAGATGGGCAATTATCTCTTTTAACTATTGTAACATAGTACGCTGCCTTTCCGAAGAACATCGAGCTTAACTGAGTTATATGTACCATTTAATAATATTTGTTTTAATTTAATTATTCTGGATAACGACCTTAAAAAATTGTGGATAGCCAAGATCGGATTCCAAAGACTGCATGTCACTGCACCGAAGACATTAGGGTATAACCTTAATTTTAGGAGAATGCTACCCCCTCAGTTCGATTTTTAATTAACAAATATACCTACCTTTTCAATTATCAAGAAAAGTGTTACAAGTGAGTACTTTTAACATATTTATTAGAATAAAGAAAAACTCTAAAACTCATTAGCTATATTTAAAATTTTAACTATACTTGTATTAAACATGCGTACTTTAAAAATTAAGTAACATATACCAACATTTAATAGGGATAAAAGGAAAAACTAGGAACACAAATTTAATAACATTTATCTTATAATTATGATAAAAAAGTGTCTTTCTAATTTATAAATAAGACTAGAGTGGTAAGTTAATTTAGCTACAGCTTAAAAGTCTTTCTACATATGACATGACGTATATATTAATTGTGAAATAGTTGTTTAGATATAGAAATTGGAGTTGGCAGAGAAAAGAAAAAGATGTGGAAATTGGAGATCATGTGGTGTCCAAACGACATTATGGTAGAAATATGGAATGACTTGATCGTTGTAACATTTATTACAACGAGTGTGCGATACGCAATTGGCCAATTTGCATGCGGCAACAAATATTACACAATTTGTATAAAAAAAATATTGCTAATTTCCGTTTTTAATATAAAAACTAATTTAATTTTTAATTTGATCTTAAAAATCAGATTTTAATTTATTTTTTTTCTTATATTTATCTATTTTTTAAAAATAATTCTTATAATAGTTGCACATGTTAAGTATTTTATCATATGGTAGTTTTAGTTAATATGCACGATTAGTAAGGGTATTTTAGAAAAAATAACACCTATTTATTACAAATAATTAACTTAACAAATTTTTTTAATTTATTCAAATTAATCAATTAGTTTTTATATTAAGGATTAAATGTGGTACATAATTTCATGTTAAAAATGGATAATCTTGTTAATCTTCTTTCTTTGGTTTTTTATCATGCGGTAACAAGTAATCCCTCTTTGATATATTTTTTTTCAAGATTAATTTACTTGATCCTTAATATAAAAGTTTGTTTGACTTTTATTTTGATCATAATTATTAAGCTCAAAACTACTTTCTCTCTCTCATATTTATTCATTTTTTCTTAAAGTAGTCATTGTGATAATTATAGTTCTAATTAATAGAGATATTTTAGGAAAGACAACACATATTTATTACAAATAAATAACTTAATCAGTTTTTTTAATCTATTCAAATTAGTTACTAGCTTTTATATTAAAGACCAGAAGTAGTATATATTAGTGACCCTAAATCTATTTTTTTTTTTTAATCATAGATATGTCCTCGTGTTGTTCTAATGATTGAAATGAATATATCAATAAAAGATAGACAAATATCTAACGCAAAATATAGGTCGATACGGTCATACAGAAAAAGAATTCATGGGTGATGGGACCTAGCATGTGAGACTTAGACATACACAGAGCGTGAGATTATAACCGGTCAATAATATCAAGCTGTCGTTTCTTCCGCTTTTTCCCCGGAAAGAAATGCACATTTATTAGTTTGACTTGTTCTTACTAAAATAAAAATATTAAAAAATATCAAATTAAATGTAGAATATCTGAAATTCTCCTCTTGATTTAAAAATTGTAAAAATTAAAATTAAAAACTTACATCTGTTTTTTTATTAAAATTTTATAATATTCTTTTTCCATTTTTTTAAATTGTGTTTATTAAAATTTTTTCCCTCTTCACTCCCCTCCAATTCCCTCATATCTCACACCATGTCAGATCTTTCCGATTTGATTCATTTTTTTCTTCTTATGCTTGTTCCTTTTTAAAAATTTAGATTGCGCGTATAATAATTTAAAATGTTCAGATTTAATATTTTAAAAATATTACTGAGATATGATAATTAAAATTCACATAAACAAATAAATATATATTTATCTTAATAAACATTTTTTTATATGTAATAACTCGAGCACTAATTATATTTCTTACAAAAAAAATCCACGCTTAACAAAAAAGCTTAAAGATTGTGATTGATGTCATTGTGCTATGATATATATCTTAACAGAGAAAATAAACACAGGAAAAAAAAAAAAAGAAGAAGAAGAGGACGAAAATCAGTTTGAATCAAACATCCATTGAGGCAAAGGACGACAACCAAAATGTTGCGGCGTGGTGATTGGTGAATGCTGATATTGGGAGGAGCACTGACAATTAATGATTTGATTTAGAAGATGATGATCCAAATAATTCATTACTGGTAATTATTGATCTTCATTATTTTCCATAACTGATCGAACCATCAGATAACTGAATTATTAACTCGAACGCACGCTTGACATTTTCTGCTAAGCAAATACTCACATTGTACGATCTACCCAATAATCTCGACCTTCTATTTTTGTTTTCAAAATTATCAAAACAACTAATTCAATTCAGGATTAAAAAAAAAACTAAATTATTGAGAATTACTATAAAATATACTCCTCCGATTCTTAATATAGAATCTAATTCTTGAGTTGGTTTTGGTCCTAAATATAAGACCCATTTCTTATATTTATCAATTTTTTCTAAATTACCCCTATGAATACTCCTTCAACTATGATCAAGTAGAAGAGGGAGGTGGAGTATTAAGAAAGATAATTATGGTGTTTTAGGAAAAATGTGTCACTTTTCTTATAATTAACTAATTTACCTAACTTCCTTAATCTAATCAAATTAGTTAAATGAATCTTATATTAAGGACCGGAAGAGTACAAATCTAGGTTCCCAGTGATTGGGTAAAAAAAGAAAGAAAGAAATTTGTAAATATCGTGATCGTAGATATATATTTGCGACTTGTTCGCATGAGTGACTAAACTGGAAGTTAATGACACGGCTAGACTAGATGATGCCAAGTCAAAGGGGACAGAAACCTCATATGATTGGAAAGAATACTCAAATTTGACGACTCAAGTCTTGAATGTTGCTAGCTAGCATCTCCATGTTCAGTCAGTTCAAAAGCCATGAAACTTTCAACTTTTTCAAATTTTCAATTTGCCTTTTTAGCGCTTTACAGAGTATTACCATGTTCTGTCTTATGATATGACCAAGTCCACGATTTTATTTTTCTCCCAAAAGGGAAATCACACACAATAAAAATATCAAACTTTTAACATGCTCCAAGGGTTGTTTTATCGGGTAAAAATTTAAATTTAGCCTTTTCAAGGATCGCATATCCAATAGTTTATAAGGATGTTTGAATAAAAATCAAATCATAATTTTATAAGTAATTTTTTATGTGAAAAAAATTTTATCTCGATTTATATAAAAATATTTTTTAAAAATACTTTTGAGGCATTCAATACCCCTATATTTATAGTAGTATTACCTCTTATTCTTAATATAAGATTTTGTTTAACTTTTATTTTGGTCCTAAATATAAGACTTCAATTTATTTTATCTCTAATATTTATTTTTTTAAGATAATCATTCTAATAATAATAGTTACAAACAATATACTTAGTTGGTAAGGATATTTTATGAAAGATAACACATATTTATTATAAATAACTAACTTAATTTATTTTCTTGATCTATTCAAATTAGTCAATTAACTTTTATATTTAAGACCAGAAATAATATTTATCAATGAAAAACAGGTAAAAAGATAGCCGTTGGAGGGAAAAAGGACAAGTTAGATAACTGCATTAACAGAAAACAGCGTTAATATATATATATTTTGTTCCTTTTAACTAGAAGAAACCGACTCCCGTTGATTATTAGAGATATCGATTTCATCGCAATTATCCTCTACGATCTCTAGCACGGAAACGAGTGTAGTCCAGCAATAACAGCCTCGGGTTTCGATATCATCCGAAGACTACCGATTTTTCCATACTCCATCCGCTCCTTGTTTCTTGTTATTTCTTATCATAGGATCTAATTTTTAAATGGATTTGTCTTTTTTATAAGATTTTTTTTAAATTTGTCTGAATATTTAATACAATATTACCTATTTTACTCTTAATTTAATATATCTAATATATTCTCTCTCTTTATTTATTTCACTATTACTCTCTTACATTCATCTATTTATATATAGAGGTATATTTGGAAAAAAAACTGTCTTTGCTACATACTATCTCCGGTTCTAATTATAAGAATTAGCTGACTAATTTGAGGAGATTAAGAAAAAAGTTAATTTAGTTATTTGTAACAATATGTGTTGTCTTTCCTAAAATATCATTACTAATCAAGTGTATTGGCTAGAATTACTATTGTTAAAAGGATTACTTTAAAAAAAATGTATAAATATGAAAAACAAAATAGATTGAGATATTATTATTTAGGATCAAAATAAAAATTAAATAAGGTCATAGTATTAATTATTTTTAACTAATTTTAATTATTTTCCTAAATCATACTACCTCCGGTCCTTAATATAAGATCCTGTTTAAATTTTATTTTGGTCCTAGATATAAGACCCAATCCACTTTGTCTCTTATATTTATACGTTTTTTCCAAGATAGCCCTTCTAACAATGATAGTTTTAGTCAATACACTTGATTAGCAAGAATATTTTAGAAAAAACAAGACATATTTAAGACAAATAACTAATTCAACTTATTTTTTTAATTTTTTCAAATTAATCAACTTACTCTTATAATTAAGATCGTAACTAGATTTTAAAAAAGATCCTACAAGAGCAGTAGTGTAATCAATGGCTTGGCCACGTGAGACAAATCCTTCGGTGAGACAGTAATCACCCTCCCTAGACTTTTCTATGTCGTACAATTTTCTGCGTTATTTTTTTTCCTCGAAGACGGCAAAAAAGTTTGCATTTTGTAGGATTTCCTCCCAATTTCGTCACTTCATTTTGGGACATACCATACTCGGCATCCCTCCGCTGCTCTGCACATAAATACCCCTCCTCGGAATCCATTCTTTGTAAAGGGGTATCCGGTGAAGGAGGGGAAAACCCACCAAACGGCTATTATTGACGTTACCAGGTTGAGAGAAACACAGAGAGACAGAGAAACCCGGAGAGAGAGAGAGAGAGAGATAGACAGACAGGGCCTCAAACGTTCGTGGCTTTGTCTGTTTTTCTACCCATTTGCCTTATTGTCTCTGCAATTTGTCTCCTTGGTTTCATGTTCTTCGGGTTCATCTGTTCTTCCCTGTCATCTTTAGTTTGAAGGGCTTCGTAGGAGAAGCAGAGAGGAGAGGAACAGAACACAATTGTTCGCGCGCTCTTTGTGGTCAGGTTTGTGTTTCTTCGTTTGCTTCACGATTGGGTTTTCTTTCTGGTTAATGTCTCTCCACTACCATGAAATTCTGGGTTTGTTTAGTCTTTGGGTATCTTCAGTTTTGTTGCGTTGTTAATATAAAATGGACTCGAAGAATTCCTATCGGGTTTCACGCGTCCCAATTGTTAATGCTATTTTCATTTTTAAATTTTTGAGTTAGTTTTATGTCTGCTTCTCTTTCGACTTTCACAACCTAACTCAGTTTTGATAATCAATGTTTTTCTTTCGTCATGGGATATTTCGTGCGATTTCAGTTCGTCCAACTACCCCCATGGCCCCATCTCTCTCCCTCGTCCTTAAACCAGTAAGTTCCAGCATGCTTTATCCTACGCATCTTGGAGATGTCAAACACGATCCAAATGTGTACTTGAACTTCTCGTTGATGGGTCTAGGATATTATCGATGATGGCCCGTCCATTAACAGTGTATTTTTAAATGAACAATTTCCGTCTCTGACCCTCTGGGATTTGAAGAGCATATTTTCTGTTTGGCATTTGAATAGTCTATATTGATTTTCAATAATGGATTCTTCCGCTACCCTGTGCCTTCTCTCTTTCTGGACTGAAAGGCACGTTTGCTTTGCAGAATTACAGTAGTTATAAACTTTGTTCTTGTTGTCTGTGTATGCGCCATTTTGAATCCCAATTCTCTGGTGTCCCACAAACTATTCCTTAATGAAAAAGTCGAGAAATGATGCTTTTTGTGACATAGTTGCAGATAACATTAGTCTGTCATTGTTCTATGACATTATGTGCGACCAAGCATGTGAATTGATTAGATTTCTGTTTACCGTGCAGCAGGAAACTCACTCAGCATTGAGTATGTCAAGGGTCGGGCGTGTTTTGCGGGCGTTGGACTTCAAGACTTGCATATTTTTCTTTGTTGTCATCCCACTAGGCATCTTTGGGATCTATTTACATGGGCAGAAGATCACATACTTTCTGAGACCACTTTGGGAATCTCCTCCAAAGCCCTTCGGTCAAATTCCTCACTATTATCATGAGAACGTATCGATGGAGAATCTTTGCAGACTTCATGGATGGGGAGTTCGTGAATCACCAAGACGAGTCTTTGATGCTGTTTTGTTCAACAATGAAGTCGATATGCTTACTATTCGTTGGAAGGAATTGTACCCATATGTGACAGAGTATATACTCCTGGAATCAAACTCAACCTTCACTGGATTGCCCAAGCCATTGTTTTTCTCAATCAATAGGGACAAGTTCGAGTTTGTTGAGTCCAGACTGACATATGGGGTTATTGGAGGGAGATTCAAGAAAGGAGAAAACCCTTTCATTGAAGAAGCATATCAAAGAGTTGCACTAGACCAGCTTCTGAGAATTGCAGGTATAGAAGATGATGATCTTCTGATAATGTCTGATGTTGATGAGATTCCTAGTGCTCATACCATTAATCTCTTGAGGTGGTGTGATGATATCCCCCAAGTTCTTCATCTTCAATTGAGGAACTACTTGTATTCTTTCGAGTTCTTCTTGGACAATGAAAGTTGGAGAGCATCAGTTCACAGATATCAGACGGGCAAGACAAGGTATGCTCACTATAGGCAATCTGATGTCCTCTTATCAGATGCTGGTTGGCATTGTAGCTTTTGTTTCCGCCATATCAGTGAGTTCATATTTAAGATGAAAGCTTACAGCCACACCGACCGGGTGAGGTTCGCGCACTACCTGAATCCTAGCCGGATACAGGACGTGATTTGCAAAGGGGCAGACCTATTTGATATGCTTCCTGAGGAGTACACATTCAAGGAGATCATTGGGAAGTTGGGGCCTATACCTCATTCTTATTCAGCAGTGCACCTTCCTGCATTTTTACTGAATAATGCAGAGAAATACGAGTATTTGTTGCCTGGAAACTGCAGGAGAGAAAGTGGCTGAGTTTGAAAACTCGAAATGTGGCTGCAAATCAGTGCCCTTTACGCCAGAAAGGAACTCCATTGAATGATTCAGGGCCGTGATGAGGTCAAGCACAAGGAAACTTGTATACCAAGGAACTCTACTTCATTGTTTAGCTCTGGAATTTTGGGAATATGACAGGAAGCGTATCTAATTTCAAAAACTGGGGTTACAAAATCTAAGCCATGTAAAGATGGAATCTGAGCTGTATAGCTCTTGCCTCTTTTTTGCAGTCCTTCTGTTTTGTACCTTGTCTTTGGGTATATTATAAACCCTAATTTGGTTAATTGCAGCATGGCAATTCCCAAGCTTTTCTGGTGGGACTTGTTTCTTCTTATTGTTATCTTTGCCCCATATTTCTGGCTCTGTAATTTTTGTTGGTTAAAACGGGAAAAAAAAAAAAACTTTGATGGATTCCAAGTCCAGAAGAGATAAATCATAAAAGGGACATACTTAAGTTTGATTAGTCAACTTGGGTAATACAATAAATGAGTAAAAAATGGTGAAAAGTGGTGTGTGGAGGGAGGATGGGGTTGACCTGATGAAGTTGGGAAATACAAGGAGGGCAGAATGACGTGTGGTACTGCAAGACTTTGCAAGAATCGAAACCTGGTGGGCCAACCAGACAAGACAAGAGAGGAAAGTGCCATAGTGGGACTTCGACTGTTTGAACCTTTTTTATTTTATTTAAATATTCATATATCAGTTTATGTATGTCGCCGTGTTTTTAACTTCAATTTTAATGCATTTTAATCATTTATATGTAGCATTTCAGGAAAAATTTTTTTTTAATAACTCCTAAAATTTTATAATGCAACTTAAATAATATCACAGATAGGGAAAGGAAGGGCATGGAGATAGAAGATTCCCAGTTCCCACCAAGTGACTGTCTCAATCTTGAATGCTCCGTTTAATTATTTTGTTGACTTTTCCAGGTCCAACCTTTCCATCTCCACTAAATCCCCCAGTTTCGATCATCCTGTTTCCATTTATCGCCTTCAATTGTTTGTAAATTCCACAACATAATTTTATTATACTTACACGAAATATGCCTCTTAATTAAATTTTGAAATTATGGATATTGGTTTTGTGAATAATATACTCTTAAAATTAATATTTATCCATCAATTTCAATATCAATATGTCGAAGCACGCAATTCTGGAGTCATGGATAGTGTGTAATCAAATTTCACACAATATATGAGTCTCACATCTCCTTTTTTTTTTTTTAATGGCTTGATAAAATTTAAACACATTTTTACTTTCAATATATGAGCTTCCTTACTAAGCTCTTGTGTTTGGTCCTTAATAGATAATGAAGTTCATAGTTGGAGCAATGAGACCCACAAAATTAAATTTTAAAAAGAAAATAAACATTTATGCCATATGTCACTCTTATATTAATCTTACTAGTCAATTGTAAGAATGATTATAATTAAATTATTTTTAAGCTCTAAATCTGTACCTTTCATTTTCCTGTACGATGATCATTTAATAATCCTCTTGGCTTGACCTGGTCGTGAGCTTCGATTTCTATCTTGGAAGGAATAGTCCTTGGTCCACAATCTATTTAGACTGCTTAAATTTATCTTTTTAATTAATGATTTTGATTTTTTTGGTTTGGTATTTTTAATTTAACTTATGCTTATGATTTAATGGTCGGAATTATTATTTTTATATTTAATATCAAAATATAAATATTTTAAACTAAAAAAGTTTAAATGACGGATAGGTTCAGAAAAAGGTTAACCAAAGAATGCAGTTAGGCCCATTCAACAGGAGTTAGTCGGTCTCTCCTGTATATATTTATTTTTCGCTAACTAGTCGTTCGGTTTAGTAAAAAAAACTAGTCTCTTATAATATAATAAATTAGGATTTAGATCCCTATTGAGAGAAATAAACATATTTAGTACTCCTCTGGTCCTTAATAAAGGACGTAATTGTGAGTTGATTTTAGTCTTAAATATAAGACCTATTTCTCATATTTATCAATTTTTCTAAATCACTCTTATGGATCTCCCTCAACTATAATTAGGTAAAAGAGGGAGTGAGGATATTAAAGAAAATGATTATGATATTTTAGGAAAAAAAAATGTCATATTTCTTATAATTAATTAACTTACCTAACTTTTTTAATTTAATCAGGTTAGTTAAATAGATTTTATATTACGGACCAGAAGAGTATTTGATAGTGCTTCAGAATTACTTCCAATAGAAGAATACAAGTAGTTAGCAAAAACTAAATATTTGGTTCCTATCCATATTTGGTGATGGATGGTTCTTCAATTTTTGACGTTATTTTGTTGGATAACATTATGCTTTTCAAACCAATCGTACTTTTTATAATCTACAAATATTAAATATTTTTTTATATATTTACAAAATTTTTGTTGCCGGGCATATATTTACCATAAATATTTTGCCATCATATATTTACAAGATTTTACTATATGCAAATTAACATATTGACATTGATTGATGAGGGCATATCTGGCAGATAATTACGGAGTCTCTTCTTTGCCTTTTTTTTCCGTTTTTTTTTTGGTAGCAAATTTGATATGAAACTCGACCCTTGAAAATTCAAAATTCAATAATTACGCGTCTTTCTCACCGTCCTAAATTATATGACCTCTTACGTGGAATCCATTTGCCGGTTTTCTCATACCTGGAAAGTGTCACCCGCTTCTTGTTTCAACATGTGCTGATAATTCAGTCCTGAAAATAACATTCTAAATATTAATTCTTTAATAATCGATTATATTTTTAAATGTTTCAATCAAAATAATACTCCACGTAAATTACAATCAATTCAATGATATAGATACAGACACACATATTTATATAGCCAGAGCATCCATAGTTGTTCTTTTGAAGTGATGACTCGAGTGAAGTGACATCATTTATAAAGTTTTTTTTATTTTTCTAGAATTTCGTTAAATGACGCTTCTTTTTAAATAAGTTCAAATCATAAATTGACGATCACGAAAACTTGCGCATACGCACATTTAAAAAAAAAAAATTCAGAATTACCTTATTTGTTAACTAAACATTTTCTTTTGACAGTATTAGAATAGCTTGAGGAAGTTCATTTTTTTTAACCAAAATTGGGGAAAGTTAATTTGACGACAAAAAGTCTCCAAAATTTACCTTAAGAACATTTCAAAGAGTAATCTGAAACATGAAACATATTTGAGAAATCAAAATAAGATTAGAACAGGACAAGTCTGAGCTTCACAGTGGGTCTTTACTAGTAAACGACGCGTCTTCTCCAAGTTGCAGACCCCCGCTCGCTTGACTTCACAAAACTAAACTCTCATTGACGCGTGATTGAGGGGGCTCCTTCATTTTCCACAAACAAATAAAAGCCCACATCTGTGTCAACTTTTTCGGTTCAATTCCTTCACTGTCAAGATCATTCAAAATATATTATTTTCAGATATTCCAAGCGTCTACCTCAAGCCCCTTAAAAATGCTGCGTTCATACATGAGGAGTATAATACAACGGCTTTTTACCACCAAGGGACCAAGTGAATAAACCAATCATGAAGGGCTTAGTGCCATTATAATTTTTAACTCTTGACTGATTATGTGTTCAAGCCATCTTGTCATACAGAATCCACAATGAATGATGAATTTAACGGGCTAGTCACTGTCCCATGCCTCATCTCCATCTTTTGGGCTTCTCTTATGGCTATAGTCATTTTCCCTCTTTTCATGCCCACTGACCCTCCAAGTGTGGCTAAACTCTTCCTCTGAATCTGAATGCCACATCCTGTTTTCTGAGTCAATGGCTATATCTTCGGATCCAGATTCTAAACTCATCGACCGTGGGTTTATATCAACTCTTCCAATCCCACCTTGCTTCCCTTTCATACTTTTTGGAACATCAAATCTATCCCAATTTTGGTCAGAGTCGTCACCACCAGCCCCATGATGCCTAACACCATTTCTATTGTCCCTCTTCGTGTGATATGCGTACTTGTCCCCACTATTGCTCTTGTAGTTACCACTGCCACTGAACTGTCCTGATGATTCATTTTCTTCCTCGTCAGACTCCCACATCGCATTGTCAAGATCGCTGAACGTACTTTCTGAATCGGAATCAACTATGCTTGAATTTTTCCTAAATTTACCTTCGTGTGTATTAAAACTTCCATTAACTTGGCTCCTGCCAAAATTACTTCTTTTTTCCTTCTCCGCCTTACTCGCCTTGAACCTGCCTTTAGCCTCGCTAGATTCATCAGAATTACTGTCTGGATCGGCAGGCCACTTCCCATCATAATCATCATCGTCGTCATCATCAGAGAATGTGTTGTTTTCAACATCACTATCACTAGCCTGCTGCTTAGCATGTGCAGTCTGTCGAAACCTTGAGCCTCTAATCTCACCATCATAATCATCATTTCCAGGGGCATCAAATTTTCTATATCTTCCTCCAAATTCTTCTCTGTTCCGGTACCTAATTCTGCCAAATTCTTCTTTTTCTTTTGCCTCTTCAGCCTCGTATTCTTTATGCAGCAGCATCTTCTATCTCAGCAATGAATCGGTCTAGCTCTTCCTGGTCACTATCCGTAGAAGGCTCTGGCTCTTCCAAATCTTGGACATTTTCTTTAGCCGACAGTTTGCCTTCATGAAAAACATAAGGGCTTCCTTCTTTCTTGTCAATAGCATTGAAGAATGTTGAAGCAACTCTCTGGATGCTGGCCATGGCAGTGGGATCCTCAGGATTTACACCCATCCGCCTGAGCTTCTGCTCTATTTGCTTTATGTTTAACTTTTGAGATTCAAGAGCTTGCTCAAATCTGGCCTTAAAAGAGCCTGCATGCGACAGACAAATATATTACTTATGCTAAAATCAAGTTCTTGCAGTAATGGAAATCACAATTAGCGACCATAATGGTGAACGGAAAAAAGGTGTTTATTACAGTAGACTTAGCAGTCTTTAGTCTCCTGACCACATTCGAACATGTCAATATGTTTATTAGTCAGCTACGTAAAATATCATCATTTCACTGGGGTAATTCTGTGGAGAGCTTTTCCTCTTTAAGAGGTTGAACTCTCTCCAGGAAAGAAAGCTCCATCTCTTGAGAAGTAGGGCTCTCCACAGAATTACCCTTTCAATTAAATTATTCCATGATAATCAATCAGCAGCATACTATCCTAGGCACCTATTTGGTTCAAGTAAAGGATGGTTTAAAAACTAGCTGCTTTTGCCGCTACATTTATTAAGAAACTTCTTTCATATTGACTATCTTATCATCACAAACACTAAAAATTAGGCAAGCATCATGGCTTTTCCAGGGTAATGATCAATGCTAATTTACTGCATATTGTTCAATAATGTCAATCCTAAAGCAAATAATTCATACTCGTGGAGCCAACCTCTTGGCAACTTAAGCAATGCAGAAAAATCATCATCTCTAATGTAATAGGTAGGGACATAATTAAACATGACAAAATAGGGTGGTATTGCTCAAATAGTAAATAAATATACAAAATATTGCAAACCTACCTTCCTCTTTGTAAGGGTGTTAATGGGTATCAAATTTTGGG